AAATTTAAAAAATTTTTTAAATATAAAAAATTAAAATTAAAAAAGAAATCTGAAAAAAGTGTAAATAGACCAAATGTTCCAACTGAAATTCAGAGGTTGATAGACTGGATAAAAATGTGAGACCCATATATATACTGTCTAAAAAAGAGACACTTTAAATATAAAGACATTGATAGGAGTAAAACCCTGAAAAAAATACACAATGAAAACAGTAAGTTTTAAAAAGCTGGTGTAGCTATATTTAAATTAGACAAAGTAGACTTCAAAATAAAGAAGATTACCAGACATAAAGAGAAATTTCTCTAAATGATGAGTCAATTTAGCAAGATGATTTAACAATGTGCTTGCCCCAAAGAGCAGTTTCATGAAAATTCTAAAAGAAGAAATAAACAAACACACAATTATAATTAAAGAGTTTAACACCTCTCTCTCAGTAACAGATAAAATAATTAGTCCAAAACTCCTTGCAGGTAAAAATATTTGAACAACACAATCATCTTGACCTATTTGACATTGATAAAATAACACACCCCACACCAGCCAAATATAAGTTCTTTTCCAGTGCACGTGGAACAGTCACAAAGATAGGCCACAAAATATGTCTCAGTAAATTTCAAAAGATCAAAATCTTATAGAATATGTTCTCTGACCTCAGCAAAATTAAACTAGAAATCAATAATAGAATATCTAGAAGCACTATCGACATTTGTAAATTTAAAAACACACTTCTAATTGACCCATGGATTTTAAAAAATTGCAACAGAAATTAGAACATATCTAAACTTTAATAAAGATACAACCATATCAAAATTTGTGGAAAACAGTAAAAGCAGAGCTTCAAATAAAATTTATAGCTTTAAATGCCATATTATAACATTATCTTATTAGAAAAATGAAGGTTTAAAATCAATGATATAAATTTCCACCTTTAATATAAAAAAAGAAGAGCATATAAAACTGGAATTCAGTAGAAGAAAGGAAATACTAAAGACAAGCAAAAAACAACAAAATAGAAAGCAGGGAAGAAAGAGAAAATTAACAAGTCAAAATTTACTTCTTTGAAAAGAATAATAAATCAATACACTGCTTAAAAAACAAAAACGAAACAAAACAAACAAAAAAGGAAAGTCACAGACTGGGAGAAAATATTCAAGATATCTATCTATCTATCTATCTATCTATCTATCTATCTCTGACAAAAGACTTCATCCATAATATATGAAGTTCTTCTACAAATAACAAAAAGACAAACATGATAAAAAAAAAAAAGCATGATGAGAGTTGAACAGACATTTCATAAAAGAACATACACAAATGGCCAATAGCACATGAAAATGTGGGAAATATCATTAGTCATTAGGAAATTGCAAATTAAAATCACAGTGGGATTCCATTTAAAACCACCAGAATGGCTACAATTAAAAAAGATTAATACCGCCAATGTTACTGAAAATGTGGAGCAAATGGGACATTGCTGCATTGCTAGTGAGAAGGGAAAATGGTATAGCCACATTTTTTTACTAAAGGTAAATATATATCTGCCATATGATCAAGCAATTCTATTTCTAGACATTTGCTCAAGAAAATATATATATAAATATACATATATATCTATCTCATGCAGACTTGTACAAGAATGATCATAGCAGCTTTCTTCATTATAAAAACCCAAACTTGATACAAACCAATGTCCATCAACTGAAAAATGGATAAATAATTGCCATATTCCTGAGGAATATTACTGAGTAGTAATAAAAAGAATTAACTACTGGTCTGCCACGATATGGAAAAACTTCAAAAACATGTTAAGCAAAAGAAGCCAGATACGAAGGAGTACATACTGAATGATTCCATTTATCTATAAATCAGGTAAAACTAATCTATAGGGGAAAAAAATTAGAATGGTAGTGTCTTGGAGAGGGGTGTAGGGATTGGCTAGAAACAAGCACACGGGCAATTTCTGGAGTTACGGGATATTGGGTTACATAAGTTTATGTATATATCAAAGCCATTGACTTTTACACTGATTTGTATATTTTACTCTGTGTAGATTTAACTTTAATAAAAGAATTGTATACAAATATGAAACTCTAGGATGTTTGCTTTTTGCAATGGTATGGGCCCAGGATCTGAACCTTTTTTTAACGGTGATTCTCATTTGGTGCTACTTGAGAACCACCACTGCGTCCTCACTGCTGCTACCTTATTTCAGGCCACCTGTCTTCCATCTTGCTTTCTTGATCTGTCACCAACTTACAGCTAAAGAGACCTTGCTACTCAAGCTGTGGCCAGCAGACCAAAAACGTCAGCATCCCCTGGGGGATTGTGCAGAATCTGAGACCCCACCCTGGATTTCACAAGATCCTCAGGGGAGCCTTATGCACATAAAAGTCTGAGAGGCACTGATTTAATGCCTCACAGAGGCATGGTGAAGCTTAAACCAAATATTAGGTGAAGGCACAGTGTCTGGAATAAATTGGTGATGCAGTAAAGCGTGCCTATGTCTTGATGGAAGGGGGAATAGCACAGGTACACAGACAAGAAGAAAAATTGTAATGGGGAAAAATATGCTCTCAAAAGTTGATGTTTCTTAAATCATATTCCAATAAATATGGGTGCTCTGTGAATTTGCAAGTGTGCGGGCAACAATGGGGCGGGGTGGGGTGGGGGAATAAAATCTCTTCTCAAACTCAACACCCAAAAAACAAATAATCAAGTCAAAAAAGGGGCAGAAGACATGAACAGACACTTCTCCAAAGAAGACCTGCAAACGGCTAACTGACACATGAAAAAATGTTCATCATCATTAGCCATCAGGGAAATTCAAATCAAAACCACATTGAGATACCACTTTACACCAGTTAGAATGGCAGAAATTGACAAGGCAAGAAACAATAAATATTGGAGAGGTTGTGGAGAAAGGGGAACCCTCTTACACTGTTGATGGGAATGCAAGTTGGAACAGCCACTTTGGAAAACAGTGTGGAGGTGCCTCAAAAAATTAAAAATAGAGCTACCCTATGACCCAGCAATTGCACTACTGGGTATTTACCCCAAAGACACAGATGTAGTGAAAAGAAGGGCCATATGCACCCCAATGTTCCTAGCAGCAATGTCCACAATAGCCAAACTGTGGAAAGAGCCGAGATGCCCTTCAACAGACGAATGGATAAAGAAGATGTGGTCCATATATACAATGGAATATTACTCAGCCATCAGAAAGGATGAATACCCAACTTTTACATCAACATGCATGGGACTGGAGGAGATTATGCTAAGTGAAATAAGTCAAGCAGAGAAAGTCAATTATCATATGGTTTCACTTATTTGTGGAACATAAGGAATAGCACGGAGGACATTAGGAGAAGGAAGGGAAAAATGAAGGGGGGCGGAAATCGGAGGGAGAGACGAACCATGAGAGACTATGGACTCTGAGAAACAAACTGAGGGTTTTAGAGGGGAGGGGGTGGGGGGATGGGTTAGCCCAGTGATGGGTATTAAGGAGGGCACGTATTTTATGGAGCACTGGATGTTATACGAAAACAATGAATCGTGGATCACTACATCAAAAACTAATGATGTACTGTATGGTGACTAACATAACATAATAATAATAAAATTAAAAAATAAATAAATAAAACCTCAAATTTCAAAAAAAATCACTGAGAACAACAGCATTTGTTTATAACTAGCTCTCCTCTAGAAAAGGGATCAGCACTGATTACAGTGATGGAAAATATTGAAACATAAACTCTATCTCCTGAGAGTGGGAGCAGCCTAACAGCGCATTAAGATTGAGCAAGCTTGTCCCCATTTCCCCTCTCCTCTGATCTTCCCCCATCCGTGTGGGATGGGCCTCGAAGGCTTTGCATCATCATGGCTGCTCAGCTGTCAGTCACCTGCTTGGGGTCAGCCAGTGTCCACACGTGGCTTTGAATATTTATTTATTTCCTCCAAGTATTATTTCCAACAATTACTGAACTATAACTTAACCAGTCTTCTATCTTGAGAGAGAAAAGAATTGAAATTATTAATACTGAGGAACAAGGACCCTGAGCATGTGAAATATAGACTTTTCTATTTCTCAAAAGTGTGGAATGTTTGTCTCATAACAAAAGGGGAAGCAATCAGTATGCTGAAAATGTATTTAGTTTCACTTAAACAAAACTATTATTTAAAGCATAATTTTTTCGTGGTTGTGAAACCAAATAATGTTTCATTCTATTTTTGTTCTTTATGGTGTTTTTGGTTTTATTAACATGTTAATGTGGTCTGTACTTTTAAAAATTATTATTTGATACTCTGTAATTTTTAAAATTACTATTCGATGCACTGTATCTCAGTCTCGTTAAGCAGCATTGGGTCAATATAATGTTATGCCTTTCATCCCATGGGATAAAGAATTATCAGGGCTTGGAAACCCCCATATGCATTGGTGTTACTCCCAATCTGAAGCCAATGAACAGGAGTGGGGGTCAGTAGAAGAGTAAAATCTAAAACTCCTAATTAAAACAATTAATATTACCCAGATTGTCAGCCAGAATGTAAGGAATGGGGAACTTCCACCTGGTGTTAGGGTCTCTCAGGCCATTTCTGGAGTTCTGTGAAAACAAGGCAAAGACGAAAACAATGAATCGTGGATCACTACATCAAAAACAATGGAAGGTGAGTCCTCCAGGCCCCCTGACCTCCTCCTTCACTAAACTTTAACACCACAAACAACCTATCATACAATTCAAACAATAGCGTTTGTATTCTGATTACAAAAGCAAAACAAGTTCATTACAGACAATTTGGAAACTTCAGAGAAATGATTAAGAACAAAACTTAAAAGATCTGCAATTTCCAAAAACTGAGATAGCCACTTTAAACATACTGGTGCATTTCCTTCTCTCATTCTTCACTTACTAGGAAAATTGGGTGAACAAGTAATGTGATAATTATAGATTCTTTTGTCCTGTGTGCTAATTTTTCATCTGTTTTTGTCATCATCAACCACAGTGGAAGCCCTTGTGGGTACAGATGATAGATTAGATTCTTTCATGTCCTCCACAGTGCCTAGCCCAGGACTGGACAAACAGAGCCTCCCAGTCATAAAAAACAGCCAGTTCTGAGGAATGTTACTGTGTCCTTGGCAGGTACTCACTCGCAGGAGGATGTCTCCTTGAAAGAGGTCCAAACCCGCAGCTAGACACAGATTTAAAAAAAAAAAAAAAAAGGAAGAAAGAAATATTTGAATGAGCGTTACTAAAAGGCATTTCTCATAATAAAATTAATATTTTCCATTGTAAATCTTGCCTTGTTAATCTTTGGTTGAAGTCTTTTTGAAACAATGCAAAATTCTCTCTAATTGAGTAAATGTAAATAGCCCATCAATATCACATATTATCACATCCTCTGTCTTCATTTTGGAATAAGAAACCTTGTCCAAGAATCTTAAAAGTAAGAAACGAGTTGGAAGAGATCTTTTGGATCATTGACTCCAAACCTCTCATGCTTTAAGGGGGCACAAGGGAGTCTTGAGACAGGAAGTAATACACGCGAGGTGGTCAGCAGTTGAGTGGGCTTAAGAACTCCTGACTTCCTATCCAGGGCCCTTTCTGCTATTATTCCATCCTTCTTTGTGACTCCAGGTAAATGGGTTGGTTTTGCTCTGTCCCATGAAAAAACACTGGTACCCTCCGAAGCCAAGCTCAAGATAACGCCCTTGCAATAAAGACCAGGCAAATATGGATAGATCCACTCAAAAACTGTATCTCCAAATATCTGTTATCAGGAGCTTAGCATAATAAACTTTCCTCCCTTATGGTATTCCTTGATTCTGGCCACATAGTGTTTTTGCAAATAGAGTTCTTAAAAGGGAAGATCCTTGTGGGAAAAATTTATGAACATTTAAAAGAATGTCTCTTCTTATGACAACCTTCATGTTTGACAAACAGCCTTCCCTGTAAATCACAAAATACTTCAAACAGGGTCAGTGGATCATACTTCATTCTGAGAATAGCACCTGATTTACAGCTGGGAAATCAAGCTAGAGAGTTATCACCACAGCCTCACATGGTAACAGAGGTCTCATTTGGCAAAGCTGAGGGCTCATTCATGGTAAATGACCCCACTGGGGGTTTAGGTATTGGGAGAAGTCGTGGTTTCACTTGCTAATGACTAACTAAGGCATCACGATCCCTTTCCCCATGCCCATATTTCTTAACCTCCATAAACCTAACCTATGAATATGATAGTGGCACAATTAAACAAAGACAAATAACATTGATATGACTGCCCCACGGGCAGTAGGAGCCAGGTATTGAATTGCTTTTTCAGTAGGGGTAATATGTGCCCGTCTATCCACACTCTGGCTCAGGCTTATCATGAACAAACACATGCATTTTCTGACACTGGCCTGGATTCGGGATAGAGGTGAGAGCTGGGCTCTTCTAGAGTGATATGAACAAGCTCATTCAGACCTTGGCCCCCAGGTTGGTCAGTGTAGATGGGCTCATGGAGGGTAAGAGAGTGCAGCAGTGGGTTGGGGGGGGGACACTTCCCAAAGAAGCATATATCCATTAAAAATAAGCCTCAGGAAGGGTGCCTGGGTAGCCCAATTGGTTGGGCATCTGACTCTTGATTTCAGCTCAGGTCATGATCTCAGGATTGTGGGATCGATCCCCCTATCCAAGGAGCCCGCTTATGATTCTCTCTCTCCTTCTCTCTCCCTCTCTCTCCCTCTGCCCACCGCCCCCCCGCCCCCATTCACGTGGAAGAGTACATACGCACACTCTCTCTAAAGAATAAAAATTAAAAAAAAATAAGCCTCAGGAGATTCTCTAACCAATTTGCTCAGGCAGCATATACTTATTAAGCACTTAATGTGTGCTAGACTTCGTTCTACATGCAAGGGATATAGCAGAGAATAAAACAAAGCCCTCAGGGAGGTGACATTCTTGACTGGGGAGGGAGGAGAGACAAACACATAAATGTTGAGTAGCAGATGGTATAACAAGCAATAATAATAATAAAAGAACAGTAGGGGAGAAAAGTGGTGAGGGGTAGGGGGTTTGATATTTTATAAAGGGCGGTCAGGGAAGGCCTCCCTGAGGAGGTGGCATTGAAGCAGAAATCTGATGGCGTGGGGAATAAAGGAAGAGTATGGAGGGCAAAGGCAACAGCAAATAGAAATGAGGCAAGGGGTGCCTGTGTGGTTCAGCAGGTTAAGCATCTGCTTTTGGCTCAGATCATGATCCCATGGTCCCCGCTAAGCCCGGAGCCTGCTTCTCTCTTCTCTCTCCCATCCTCTCTAACAAATAAATAAATAAAATCCTGAAAAAAGAAAAAAAAAAAAAGAGGCAGGAAAGCCTTGATGTCTTAGAGCAGCTTTCCAAACTTTAGCAAGAGAATCTCCTGAGGGCTTGTTAAACCCAGACAGCTGAGCCCCACCCTCAGGATTTCTCAGTCAGCAAGTCTGGGGCAAGGTTTGAGAATTTTCACTGCTAACAAGTTCTCGGGTGATGCTGATGTTGCTGGTGGGGAGACCACACATTGAGACTCACCTCTGTAGAGGAATAGCTAGGAGGTCAGGGTGGCTGGAGAACCCAAGAAAGTAGGGGAAAGAGCAGTAAGAAGTGAGATTAGATGGCTGGCCAGGGTCAGCTCATCTCAAACTTTCATGTGCAGGGAATCAGCAGGGGTCAGTCAACATGGAGGTGCTGATTCTGTAGGTCTGAGATGAGACTGAAGATGCTGCATTTCTAGAAAACTCTTAGGTGGTATAGGTGATCCTGGCCTATGGAACACACCTTGGGAATCAAGGTTCTAGGGCTTTTGTTCTGTGTTGGACGAGATGTCAATCAGTACTGGCCAGTGTTGAATGACGAAGACTGGATAAGAGAAGTGACATGGCCTGAATCCTATCAGAAGGAGAGTTCTGTCCCCTCTGAGGAATAGCCTGTGTGGGGTGAGGGCAGAAAGGCAAGAGCAGTTACGAGGCTGAAAGAACCTGACCAGACCAGATGGCTTAGAGAGGAATAGGAAAAGAGAAAGTGTTGAGAAGTCGCAACCCATGATATAATTTGATGGTAGATCTAATAGTATTTGCTGATAGATGGTGTGTACCTTGAGAGAAAGATAAGACTCAGAGGTTCTGATCCTTCAGATCTAGAAGGGGGAAATTGCTTTTACTGAAATGAAAAGACTGAAAGCAACAAATCTTGGGGTAGAAGGTTAAATTGTGAGGCATGGAGAGAAGACAGGGAAAAAGGTGACAATTTCCTCTCTGTGATTTTTCCTGAATAGTTTTTGTGATATAGGATCTGGCTCTGTGGCCAACCCTAACAATCCTGGTAGCTGGGTTGGGATGACCTAAAAAAGAGAAAAAAACCCACATGGTAAAATTTCTTCATCAGAGTCACAGCTCAGAGGGAGTGGTGGAGAAGAAGCATAAACAATGATTCTAAGGTAAAAGAATTCTTTGGTCTAGACAAATTAGGATGAGATCGTAAATCTCATTCTAGTCCCAGCCCTGCTTTAAACTACAGCAGATTCTCTCAAGTCCATATACCTTGATTGCCTGACACTAAACAGAGATAATTTTATGCCTGGCTCTGAAGTCTTGGGGCCCATTCACCCATTTACCTTACCAAACTATTTCTATAAAACCATTTCAAGATTTTCCAATTATGTATCAATGAGCCTGCCTTCCCTGTAAATGAGAAAAAGCCACAGAAGTTCAACCCTTAGGTATGGGTCTTTTCAGTTGTGTAGGCTTCAAATAGCACTGAGCTCAGCGATCTGGGCAGGTCACCTCAACAACAAGGAAATTCCTGTCCCTTCCTGCAAAATGATAACAGTCCTTACTCTACTGCAGTATTTGACAAATAAACATGCAATTGATAGTAAAGCTTTTGTAGACCATAAGCTGTTTAAGATCATGAATATCTCTGCTGCTTGCCAGTCCTAACCAAAGATACCCAGAATGTAAAGGCTTCTCCCTCATCTTAGAAGCAGGATAAGAGAGAGAAAAGAGATGATAACCCAGCTTCTCTCTCCTCTCAGTAATGGACCAAACTGATGGAGTTCCTCAAGAAAAATGTTCGTAGACAAGACATTGAAATGGAAACATCTTTACACTCTTCCCTAAGTCCTGAGCAAACAGGTGTTAATGAATATGATGCACGAGTAGAAGGGCTAGGGTTTTCCCCCCACTAAATGTAACCTTAGGCATATACTACACATGTATACATACATACATACATATACATGTGTATATGTAGCAAGTGGAATAATCATCCACTTTTTTTTCACTCTTTTCAAAATAGAAACAGGAAAACTGACATTTTTATAAACAAAAATCATGTGATGTACTTCTAGATCCATGGAGCACTCACTAGTTCCTCTAGAAAATTTGGTATAACCATCATTCTCTTTCCACATTTCCATTTTTCAGAAACTCTGTAAATTCTAATGAAGCACCAATAGATATTTCTTCCCTAAAGTTACCCAGTACCCTATCATGAAAGCAAGAGCTTTACAGCAATTGGAGCATAAGATTTAAAATTATTTCAAAGCATTAATAAGGCAGAAATTGAACCCACCTAAGTTGATTTCTGAAATATCCTTCTGTTCATGAAACTCTTCATCATGTACTGTTAAAAGTAGGAAAAAATTGTTACTGATCTTGCTGAACAAAAGAAAGTTCAGAAACACTCTGTGCATTTCAATTGATTCTTACCATTTCCTTTAGAGAGATGCTTAATCTGAAAGAAAATAAACATACAGAAAATACATAACATATACTAGAATTAATATTTCTAAATATTCAGAAGAGCAGAACTCTACTTACTGATACAGCTGCTATGTGGGCAAAAAACAAGGTGAAAGAGAGAACACAAGTGGATTTCGTCCAAACCATTGTTGCGAATGAACAGACTTACCAAAGACACATTGTGATAAATACTTTTTGGACCTTGCCCTGGCTGTCATCTTAGAATCTTTGACCCTCACATATGTACCATGGCATTAAAAAAAAGTAACCAAAGAAAATGTCATTAACACTTTTAAGAGCAGATACCAATTTTAACATAAAATTTCAAGCTCCCCAGATCTGGGAAATGTTTGAAAAGGTTAATACTGACATGAGCATATAAAAATCAGTAACATTTCTATACACCAGCCATAGCATTCCTCATCTGTTTCACAATAGAAATAAAAATAATCTATAAAATACTTAAATCTAACAATGAATGAATAAACATTTTATGGAAATATTTTAAGGCAATTATCAAAGGACATAAAAAAGAAAAAAAAAGTATCAGTTCAAATAACAATGAAATGCCACCTCAAGCTCAGATTGGCATAAATGAAGAAGGCTGGCCATACCAAGTGTCAACAAGAATGTGAGGAAATGGAAAGTCTTACATACTGCTGGTAGACCAGCAATCTGATGCTATCTCGTAAGTTTAAATGTGCATAGTTTATAAGTTAAAAAGTCCACTTCCAGGTATATAGCCTAAAGAAATATACACATATGTACACAAAGTACCATATAACATTCATTGTGGTATTTTTTTGTAATAGGAAAGAACTAGAAAAATGTATTCATACTGGAAGAAAAAATGGGGTATATTCAGTCATGCACAGATAAATGTTCAACAATCAGTTCTCAGAGTGAACAAGCCTTCATGTGTAGTGTTTGCTGATTTCTAGGGTATAAATACCCCCACTGTGGTCAATTTCAAGCTACCAACATTATGTTACTGAATGCAGTGCTGGAGAGAGGTACTGCGTGTATTTATACACCCTCCAACTCTTGCATACAAGAGGTATGAGACTCTTTGGTGTCAGAGCAATCTTCAAGGTCCAGGGCTTGCCTATCTCCACCTCAGGCCTACTGTGGGGGCAGATGGGCCAGTCCTGTGGTCAGAAGAGCACTTGCTGTCAGAAAAGCATTTCCTGATGCAGAACATGGGACTTCCTGAGCTATAAAACTGGAGGCATGACAGCCAGGGGCCAGCCTTGGATGGACTGAGGAAATCTGTGATTGCTTCCTTTCCACTATAGGCACAGACTGGGAGGTTGTAAGATGGTGTAGAGAGCATCTCCCACACTCCCCAACCACGGGAAGCCACCAGTGTTCTCCAAAAGAACCTGAACTTGCCCAACAGCTAACATGGCTTACGTCAGCCAATACAATCTTAATGATTAAAAAATGGGTGGGGACGAACTTGAAAAAACATCAACTTCATGAGAATAATTGGCTCTGAGCATATGGGAGGAAAAGCCAGGAGACTTTTACTTCTTAAACATAATTAAAGGACTGAATATCTGTTCATTCTGGAGCCAGGAAGTAGGGGTTTAGGGCTTTGCTATTTTGTTTTCTAAAGAAAAGGGCAACACTCTTGCCTTGGTACCCCTCCTGCTAAATCTCAGATGTTAGTTCTTCAAAGAGGCAGTCGTGGGGCTGTTGAATTCTCTCCACTTTTCCCTGCCCCCTTATATGCTTTTATCTTTCCCTTCCTTCTTAAACTTACCTAAATGATACACTGTAACAACAGCCTTGGAGTCAGATGGACAGGAATTTAAATCCCACTTCTGCCATTGACTAGCTGGGCCATTTTGAGCACCTGCTTTCCTTATGTAAATTGGATAGTGGTGCCTACTTAATGGGATTAGTATAAGGATTCAGTGAGATAACCTGCATAAAGCACAAGTACCAGAGACATAGGAAGTGTTCGGGCAACTATAGCTCTTTCTATCCACGCACACTGCCTTCTGGCAAAAGACAGGCAAGAAGAACACAGTGCTCAGCACACTTCTTGCTCAGCCGAACGTCCACTGATGGGATCATAGGTCTTCCACAGACATAACCTGCCCCAGGTGATTTTCTTTTTTATGATCTTGACTCTGGGTGTTAATTAGTTACCAGTTATCTGCAGTCCTAGGCACTTTATGTCCCGGGGTGTCCAATGAACAAGGCTGGAGTCTTAAGTCCTGGGTTTGAAGAGTTTATGGCTTTGCAGTTCCAAGATAAATTAGGCAGTCCACGGGGCAAGGGTCAGGTTTTATTTTCTGTACCTGTCCCAGTGTCTAGGACACAATGGGCACTTAGTAATCATGCTGGATGAAATACAGTAAACTATAATTTTCTTTGAAGCTATTAGATATAGTGGTTTGCTTTGATCTCAGTGAGGACATTTTACAAACTGACCAACTGAGGAAGTAGTATGAAGATTGGAAGAGAGAAGTCACTGGCAGGTGGGCAAAGGAAAGCCCTTTCCTGCTGTCAGGCAGGCTCCAGCCTCAGGCAGGCTCCTTTTCCATTGGAAAGCTGAGGCCAAGGGCGCCTGGGTGGCTCAGCCATTAAGCGTCTGCCTTCGGCTCAGGTCGTGATCTCAGGGTCCTGGGATCGAGCCCCGCATTGGGCTCCCTCCTCAGTGGGAAGCCTGCTTCTCCCTCTCCC